GTTAATATAGTGATATAAAACAACGACCAATTTAATACTTTGAAACAAACAACGAAGAACAGAGTTGCAAGAATTGTTTTCAGACAATATGCATATATACAGATGATCTAATTAACATATTCCAAGCATGTAAGATTCAATTAAAATTCAAATACAATCCTAGAGATCATCAAAGGATGCACAGAACACAGGCAAAGGGAGAGAGGCAGAATAGAACTTGCCTTTCAGTTTCGGTTTGAAACCTTTCAACATCATCTTCTTTCTAGGTTTTCCGACAACCTTAGTTGCCGTTGAATCTCCTCTACCGCTCTTGGTTTAACCCCACGAGCAACTCAGTCCTTTCTCCTTGGTCCAACCTCTAATCCATAACAGAAATCCTAACGAAACTCTCTCTCTCTCTTCCACACAATACCCTCTTTGTTTCTCTATGTCTCTATATACGAATAGGGTTTTAAAAAACCCCTTGCAAAATTATCACAGTATATTTATAGGCATATATAAAACCTACGTCTACTTATATTCAGAGATGGAATCCCAACTAAACCCTAGTCGGCCAATTTTGTTATACGATTTAAAACCCTAAAATTTATAATACACCTTAAGTGACGGTAATATTATAATTTAATTAATAATAATTACTAATTATTAACATAATCCACATATACATATATACCCATATATACATGTATATACTTCCATGGGTAAATACTGTACCCATTTACATTATCCAAAAGTCCGTGAATCCTAACCAAGCCCAACCTTGTTTTAAAAATAAATAAATAAAACAATGCATTTAATTAAACATTTCAATGGCCTCTTAAGTACATAATTGAATTAGAACAAGGAATTCAATTAACCAATTAAACATTCCAACGCAACAACTAATCATTTAAATCAAATAAAAAAATAATTAAACACAAAATCAAATAAACACACAAAAATGCCCTAAAAATAATTTAAATTCCAATTTTATCCTTTTGAAAACTAAGGGTATTACAATGCCTCTCTGACAACTCCTATATAAATCTTCTCCATCCTTATCGTTCACCAATAACTTTCCTTCTATCATCTTTCCTCCTTCTGAAACCTTAAAGGACCTCTCCACCCGCGAAAAAAATTACAGACCAGGGCTCCCAAGAAACCTTCCAAGCCAACTACTAGCTCATCCCTGCCAACTCCTTCTATTCAAAGCAAGACCAAAATTCGAAGCCACAGTCACCAAGTTTAAGTACTCTTGAAGTCTCTAAACCCTGCTAGACTTCATCTTGAACCTCTGATTCACTTCAAAGACTCCTCAGTTGGATTGGGTCCAGCCTTTGCCAACGTGGCCCCTTCTGAATTAGCTAAATTCTACCCTTCTAGTAAGTCTCCACTCCCTTTCGATTCAGAGTTCCCTCCTATTTCAAAGAAAGGGAAAAGAGTAAAACCCTCATTCAATATAAGAAACTGGCCAATATATCGTTCATCCTGGTCTTCATGGGTGAGTCGTCTTTCCAAGGATGAGAAAATTTCTTCACAGTGGAAGAAACAAGGCATCTATGACATTATCCAAATCAGTAAGTCCTCCATAACACTTGATCCGAACCTCCTCTTTCCAGCCCTTTTCTTTTGGTCTTCAACCACCAATTCTCTGCATCTTAAATGTGGAATGATGTCCCCCACTTTGAGAGATATTTGTTGCATCACAGGTCTTAAGCCTCATGGAGATGACGTAAGTGCCACCCTCTTTGTTGAACAATTCCTCTTTCCAACCAAGACCACTGGAAGTAAGAAGTTTATCTCCTCCCATCTCCCTTTTATTAAACATTGTAGGAAAACCAGCCCAGTTCAAGAAGATGAGCACATTGCTTTCCTAATTTGTTGGCTTTCTGGCCACTTGCTATATGTTCCATCTGGCCAAGTCACAAAAGACTTTGTTCAAGTGGCGGTTTCCCTAGCTAGAAATGGAGACTTAGCATTAGCTCCCCTTGTACTTTCTCATTTATACAGAAGTCTTCACGATCTCCTTACTTCCAAGTTTTCAAGGTTCCAAGGCCCCTTCTGGTTGTTCCAAATGTGGCTTAAAGTGTACTTCCAAAATAAAACTTCACCCCTAATCACTCCAATTGGAAAATCCCTTCTGTGCCATTCTTTGGCAACCGTAGATCCTTCCTTTCAGCTTTGCTAAAAACTTTGAATATTTCTACAATCAACATGAAACTGGAAACAATGAGTTCTTTGTTCCATTCACTGCCATTGGTTGCATGCCATCATGGTTTGTTCCATCTCCCGGAGTGTCTACCAAGAAACTTCTGAAGATTGAAAAAATATTTGGGCCAGCTTCCTTATTGCTCGTGACCTCTATTACGGCACTGCTCAACCTACTTTGAAGAATAGTTTCTGTGGTGTTGAGTTCTACAACCTAACCCAACTAGCAAGGCAAATGGGCTTTACCCAAATGATTCCTTTGCCACCCAGCAAATCTTACAACAGATTCTTTGACCAATGTGTTCGTCTTATAGATACTGAACAATTTGCAGCGATTGACCAAGCCTACGTAGTAGAAAGAGCAGCTTTTAATTTCAAAGGCCATACTAGCAAGCCTCAATCAACCAATGAATTTGATGTATGGTGGTCAGCTTATATCTCCTTCACCCGAACCAAGAATCATAAGGCTGTCTATAATTCCATACTGGCATCTTTCAAGCCTCTGTCTCCAGGTATTAATGTATTTACTATAAATTCCATTCCCTTTTGAAATCCATCAACCTTCCATAGACTGAAACTTGGTTAATTTCAGATGAAGAAGAGGAAATACTCGAAGAAAGTGAAGAGGAAGAAGGTGGAGAGAAAACCAGCACAGTGGCTAGTAAAATTGAGGGTGTAGCCGAAAGTGGTGACGTAAGTGTTGAGAGTTTTTCCTCAAGTGATGATGATGAGGGAATGGAAGAAGTTGAAAAAAAAAATACCAGAAAAGGAAGAGGATGTTTTATACAAAGCGAAGGGGAAAGGAAAAACTTCTCAGGTACTTCAACTTGGTTGAACTTGACTTTCCATTTTCTAGACCTTACTTATATTTCCTCTCGCAGGGACTGGCCATTGTCAAAAAGGAATTTCATCCCCAACTATCCTCTTCTGATGAAGATTCTTCTGATGGTGAAGTTGGCATTTCCAAAGGGCAAACCGCTACTCAGCATTCCAGCAAAGCCCTAAAAATGCGTAGCCCTTCCGGAAAAGTTATTGGAAAGGCTAAAAGGAAAATCATGCCTGAACTAGAAAAAACAAAAGAGTTCAAACAAACCAGAGACTCCCCAAAACACAAGAAACCAAAGTTATCCAAAGAGCTTGTTTTGGTAAGTCTCAATCCCTATCCTTCTCCATCTCATTATTTTACACTTTAAAATGTTTGTAACTTTAACTTAACTAATAGGGCTCTACTGTGGGACACAATTTCATAAATATCCACCTAGATTAACAAGTTGCACAAGGAGAGGATTTAGCTCTTCAAGCTTCAATTATGGAGAGTTTAACCATCAAGAATGAGAAAAGTCTACCCATTCCAACTTCCACTATTGGAATATCCATTCCTTCCGGAACTGGTGGAACTTCTACCGGTCATACTCCTTCCATCCCAGACGTAAGTCTTCATTCCTTTACACTTTGCCTCCTTTCTTTCTTTCCATCTAATAGAAACTTGTTTCCATTTCAGGCAACTCCTTCCTTATCTGCCTCAACCTCCTTTATGATGCAGGGGAGATCCCTTCCAGCCTTAGCTGATCTTTACAAAGTGATCAAGGCCACCAAATCTTCTGGTACTTCCACTTCAAGTGCCAGTGTCCTCACACTTCCAAGACCTTCGGATTATGCTATCATGGTAGCTAAAGAGAAATTATTGACTTTTCTTGCCCATGATGTAGAAGATGTAGTTTCTTTCCACCAAAGTCTGGCCAGCACTAACATGACCCTCAAAAAACATCCTGCATTTCCAGAATCTATCCAAATTGCTTTGACTAAGCTGCAACGTCAACTCCAATTCATTGTCAGCCATGTAAGTTCCAGTACTTTCACAATTTCTGAGTACGAAAAGGAAGCCAAGCTCAAAGATAAGGCTCTTGAGGATTTCTAACTCTCCTTAGAATCCTACCCAGAAATCAAGGATCAGGCTGAAAAGCTTATGATCAAGAAAGAAGAACTGAATGAAGAATTGGCCAAAGTTCAAAGGGAATTGGAACAAGTGGAACGTGACCCTCGTCAATGCATCCGAACCTTTAAGGAAAGAATGGGAAAAGCGAGTTGAAGCCTTTCCTAAATTTGAGATGCAAAGGTTAAAGCAGTGGCTGTTCTTGGAGAAGCAAGGAAAATTTGGAATGAACTTGGAGGTGTTCTTGCCTCTATCTGATCTCATATGGTTCTCTTTGTGGTTCTATCGTGTGGTTGTTTTTGGAAAACTTGTGGATAGGAAATAAGTAATGGGTACTTTTGCATGGCCAATCCTAGGTTTAGGAGGCCATTTTTTAGTTTTGTAATGAAATCCAGTATCTAATGAGATAATGTTCTATTTCCCAACCCTTTGCATGTGCCTCTTTCACAATTTATATTAAAAAGAAATTTTTAAGTCACTGAAACTGGAAAATTTCTTCACATATATTTACAATAAGGCATAGCTATATAATTGGCTTTCCATAACAAAGGAAATTCAAAGAAATAAAAGAAATTACCACAATGGAAATGCATGTATATACAAGCAAGATGAACAATTTCCAGTATGAACAAAACCTGGACCATGTAATGTAGCCACTTTCTCGCTGAAGACTTCCATACTTAAGAAATTAACTGATCTTAGAATTTCAACTAAGTCTGCCTCATAGCTTTAACCAATGTACTTTTCCAAATACTTAGCTTTTCCTTCTTGAAACGAATTCTCCCTCCATTTTGCCTTAGCTACCAGAATGACCAAAGTGTGGCCAACATTCCTCCTTTCCAATGTTCTGGTTTACTTGGAAAGGAATGGACCAGCCATACTACGTGGCTGGTTGAATGAATGTAGCTTTCCAATCTTCATAGATGGAAGGGTGGTAGTCTTTCAAGTACACACCATTCACAGGATGCCTATGAGACCCTCCATCTATATCCATCAATCTATAAGCCCCTTTTCCAAGGACTCGTTTCACCAAGTAAGGACCTTCCCAATTAGGAGTCCATTTTCCATACTCCAATGTTCTGACTCCTAGTGGAAACTTGACTTGCCATACCAAGTATCCTTTAACGATTGTCTTCGCCTTGACCTTCTTGTTGTATGCTCCCATGACTTTCTTCTTTTGAGCAATAATATGGTCTAAGGCATTGAGACAAACTTCATCAAGATCTTCTAATTTTGCCAACATGGCATGGTTGTAATCTGCTGGAGTTAGCCTATTTTGGAAAACCACCCTTGTAGATCTGATAGTCATCTCCATTGGAAGGACGGCATCATGCCCATATGTAAGCATATATGGTATGACGCCTGTACTTGACCTTTTTGAATTCCTGCAAGCCGAAAGGGCCTCAGAAAGTAGATGATGCCACTCCTTTGGATGATCCTCAATCATCTTTTCAAGGATATTGAGAATTACTTTGTTGGAAGCTTCTGCTTGCCTATTTGATTGGGCAAATTATGGAGTAGAACTGATCACTTGGACACTGCACTCAGTAAAATAATCCAAGACCTTGCTTCCAACAAAGGAAAGACCTCTATCAGTGGTGATAGTCTCTGGAATTCCATACCTATGTATAATGTGCTTCTTGATAAAATCAATCACCGTTGACTGCTCAAAAGTCTTTAGTGGAATGGCTTCCACCCACTTTGTGAAATAATCTGTTGCCACCACTATGTGAGTATGGCCATCTGAAGATGGAGGCCTTAGCTTTCCAATAAAGTCTAAAGCCCACCCTCTAAATGGCAATATTTTTACTATCGGCTGCATATTAATAGTTGGAACTCTTTGGATCGGGCCATGTTCTTGACATACAATACAAGTCTTGGCAAACTCTATGCAATCTTTCAATATGCCTTTCCAATAATAACCATACCTTCTAAGGAGCCACCTCATCTTGATTCCAGCTTGATGTGCTCCGCATATTCCAAGGTGTGATTCCGTCATTACCCTCATAAACTCATCCTTTCCGAGGCATCTTAACAAAAGTCCATCTTCTTTACTCTTCTTGTAGAGGTCCCCATCAATCAGAATGAAATGTGGTGCCAAAAGCTGAATTCTCTTGTCCATTTTGTAGCTACGCTCCTGCAAGAATTAGATAATTGGTGTTCTCCAATCATCCAAATCTAATCCATCTATATCAATATTGAAAACCTCCCATGGCTTATTAGCAAGTTTGATTCTTTCTGGCTCTTCAGATTGGAAATGACTTGCCATCTCATACTGTAACTCTACCGGAGGAAGAGTCCTTCTTTTAACTGTGATCAGAGCTTCTTCCATACCCGATGGGACTTTCACTCGAGAGGCTAATTATGCTAGATCATCATCCTCTGTATTTAAATGTCTAGGCCAATATTTGAGTTGGAAATCATCAAACTGGCAAAGTAACTCTAAGGCCAAAGAGTGGAAAAGCCTCAGACGCCAGTTAAGACATCCATATGCTTCAAATGGTTGGCTAAATATCAAGTTGGAATCTCCAATAATCTGGACCTTCTCCACCTTTAGCTCTAGCAGAATCTCCAGCCCAATAATTAGTGCCTCATACTCAGCTTGGTTATTTGTATACTTAAAATACAAGGAAAAAAAAAAAATTGGTTTTCCTTGCTTTCGGAGAAATGATGACTATTCCAGCTCCACCTCCATCATGAGTGCTTGATCCATCAAACATGAGAGTCCAAGGTGTGTAGTCAAGGTAGAAATTATCCACCTCATCACATATTTCTGAATCTATCTTAGTGGATGGATGATCTGCTAGAAATTCTGCTACCGCCCTTCCTTTAACTGCCTTTTGTGGAATATACTTGAAGGAAAACTCCATTAAGGCCAATGACCACTTTCCAATATGTCCAGTGATCAAAGGCCTTGAAAGCATATACTTAATCAAATCTGTTTAAGAAATGATATGTACGGCCACTGGCAACATATAGGTTCTTAACTGCATAGCCGCATAGTATAAGGAAAGGCACAACTTTTTAATGGAAGTGTACCTACATTCCACTAGTGTGAGCACCCTACTTAGATAATAGATGGCTTGCTCTTTCCTCCATTTATTATTCTGAGCTAATAGAGTTCCAATGGACTCATTGGCGGCTGATAAGTATAATCTTAAAGGCCACTTCTTGATTGGAGGCATCAGCACTAGAGGGTTGGCCAGGTAGCTTTTCAAACCTTTAAAGGCTTGCTAGTGCTGTTCTGTCCACCTGAATTCCTCATCATCATTCAATTTCAGCAAAGGGGAGAAAGCATGAGTTTTTCCAGCATGGTTGGCAATAAACCTCCTTAAATATCCAACCTGGCTGAGGAATCGCTACAATTCTTTCTTGGTGGACGGTGGCTTTGCTTCAACAATTGCCTTTGCTTTATTTTGATCTATCTCAATACCCCTTTGGTGGACCAAGAAACCTAGGAAATTTCCAGCTAAAACCCCAAAAGCACACTTCAAAGGATTTATCTTCAACTTGTCCTGCCTCATCCTTTCAAAAGCCATCTTCAAATTGTAGAGATGTTGATCTTTAACCGAGGACTTGATGACCACATCATCAATGTAGACTTCCAAGAAATGGCCAATCATGTCATGGAATATGGCATTCATGGCTCTTTGATATGTTACTCCGGCATTCTTCAACCCAAATGGCATGACAACCCTTAAAGGTTCCAATGGAACCTGGACATCTGAAGGCTGTCTTGGCAATATCTTCCTCTGCAATGTAAATCTGGTTGTACCCAAAATGTCCATCCATGAATGAAAGAATTCATTCTTGGCAGCAGAATCTACTAACTAGTCAACAACAAGCATGGGATACTCATCTTTTGGAGTTGCAAGATTAATATTCCGGAAATCCACACATACCCTTAGCTTGCCACTTTTCTTAAAAACTGGAGCTATATTGGAAATCCAGTCAACATACCTGGCTGTTCTTATAAAACCAGCCTTGTGTAGCCTTTCTATCTCTTCTTTGACCTTTAGAACAACTTCTTGGGACATCCTTCTTGGAGGCTACTTGAAAGGCTTGAAACCTTCCTTAATTGGAAACTTATGCTCTACCAGCTCTTTGGAAAGACCTAGCATTTCCTCATAGGTTCATGCAAAGCTGATAAGCGCTGAATACTGTATATTCAGGCGCCCTAAATTACATTAACAAAGTCCATTAATTGATTATTTTATGTAGATTAACTCCATTTGCATGTTTTTGTGCATTTTCAGGTTAAAGTGCAAAAAGGAAGCAAAAATGATGCCTTGTGGAATTATGAACAAAAAGGGTGCCAATTCTGAATTTCTGGCAGCGGTAGAATCTGACTTTTGTCGCCATTTTCGACCTAGAAAAATCAAGAACTGGACTTCCATCATAACATAAAAGATTTAGATCTCTGAATCAGCTTTCCAAATCTTCAAGCGGTTTGTCATTCGGAGTTCGGAACAGAGAGTTATGATCTTCTTAACAGAGGTGCGCAGAACTGCCTGGCAGCACTGAAGTACTGCCTTTCTCCCCATTTTCGACCAACAAGACTTGCGAATTGGGTCTTCATCAAAACATGAAGTTTTTGAAGCACTGAGTCAGCTCTCCAAATCTTCAAACAGATCATCATTCGGAGTTCGGGCAACAAAGTTATAGTAGTTTTAACAAAGTAGGTCAGTGCTGAGCAAGAAAAGCATGTTGCACATTACACTAATTTAGAGTGCTCGAGACCACTCTTCGAGTGCTCAAAAATCAGCCAAATTGCAGCTCGGAAATGCACCCCTCTTCAGCCCACTTGTGCATTGGTTTCCACATTTCCACCCTCCTTCTTTATGGAATGGTTGGGAATGTCTTTGGAGGAGAGAGAGAGCTTAGTTGATAGATATAAGGCAACTAAGGGCCACATGGATCCTATCCTACATTTTCTACAAGATTAGAGGAGAGAGAAGGGAGCAAAGGAGGTGTGTTCTTCAAGCTCCAAGAAGGTTGCACGAAAATGGCCATGAAGATGGAGCTTCTTCCTTCTTCTAGCTTAGCAATGGGTAACTAACTCTTTCTCTAGGGAGGTGATGAAGTCCCTCCCTTGTAAGCATGTCCTAGGATAGTCTATTTTGGGGATTTGCCATGTATATTTTATGGTCTTTTCATAACCAAGAGCACCTTATTTGTTGTAATGAATGTTGATACATGTATGGATGATTTCTTTAAGTTGATTATCTTGTCTTAGATGATGTCTTAGAGTAATCATATTGCTTGAGTTTTTCATGGTGAGAGTGGAAGCAAGGTTATGAAATGGTTTCATGGCATGTTGATAGGTGACTTTGATAGACCATTGCTTAGGAAATCCTTCGATGGTGTATGCTTAATCTCTAACTCCATATGCTTTATCATTTTGTCAAGAACTTGATAGTCTCTCATTTAAGTAAATGTGTATAAGCTACACCTTAGTTAGGTAGTCTAAGCATGTTTATCTTTTGATGGATTATACTTGTTTGAGACCTAATGTACCTCTTGATTACTTATATGGCAACCATGTGTTGCTATGTAAGTCTTGACCATCATATGTTGTTTTTCCCCCAATTTAGGTCTAATCTAGCATATGTATAGGGATGGAGGCGGATTCACTTCCCTAGTCTCCTCTTCTTAATCTTTTCATCCTAAATTCCTTGCAAATTAGTGTTTTATTTACTTTGAATTCCTAATTTAAGTGACAACAAACAAAACCTCTATGAACACCCCTTCATCATCCTAAGAATGACTCTAGACACTTAGGTTGCCTTAGACTAGCGCAGTTCCAGTGGTTCGACTTACCCGACTAATAGCACTATTTTACAATGATTCGTGCTATTGCGAAGGTTGATGTTAATTGACCAACCGATCAATTTTTGGTGCCGTTGCTGGGGATCGAACCCGGGTCATCCGCATGACAGGCAGATATACTCACCACTATACTACAACGACGCACCACCACACCAACTCACCATCACCCCCTTTCAACCAAACTAACCCTCACCTCTCTGTAATAATTTCGAGCACTCGAAGCCAAGCGTCGAGTGCTCGCCAATGCTCGAACTCTAACACACCCAACAGCTGAGCCCACTGCTGGATTTTTGAGCACTCGAAGACACCCTTCGAGTGCTCGAACCAAGCCTCTCTCTCTCTCTTTTAAAACCAAACCCCCTCACTCTCACTCACCCCTCTCGGTTCTCTCTCTTCAACATCACCCACCTCAACCATTTTCTCAACCCACATCATCAACACCCAAACCAACCCACCCCTCCTCTCTCTCATCCCCACCACCCCATCATCTCACCTCCCTCTTCCTGCCTTCTTTCTTGCTCTCGAATACACTGAAATTTAGGTCTGTGTCCTCTTCATTTGTTTTTCTTTTCCTTTGTTCATTCATGGTGTTTTACAAGGAGGATGGGCTTATAATGT